CTGTGTGGGCAGTCTGCACACCGCTGATCCCAATGAGGTCCCATCCTCAGTCATACCCAATAGAGCAATCTGTGAATCCATTTCTCAGGGCCAGGGTGAACCAAAGCCTGCAGGGCTGTACAAGCTTAAAACATCCACCTTTATGTTCTACTATTGGTCCGGCTTCTCACCTGGAAGAGGTCTCCTCCCTAGACTTCCGTTACCCATCTCATCTCCTCTCTGATGGTGAAGCCCTTGCTTCGATCCACACTGAACTACCATTTTCCTTTTGTTAATGTAGAGTGTCTGACCACAGCCCGCTGGGTCTCCTCTGCGTGACTGATCTGATCGCAGGAATGCCAGCCTGGCAGGGAAACCCCAAGGCTAGCCCCTAACCTAGGACCGTGAAGTGAAGGGACTCATCAGTGGAAGTGGTACCAAGCTGTACAAAGTTCCAGTCCCAGCCAGTAGGGGGCAGGCTAGAGGAGCGAGATAGAGGAGCCCGATGGATTTGCTATCACTGCCTCTCCTGATTGTGAACTTGAGAGGCTCGTGGTAGTCTCTCAGTTACATTATCTTTAAAACAGAGACAGATTTCTACCCCCGACCCCATGCCATGAAGAGTAAATGACAGAGGTAGAGCGGTTTAATTGGGGTTTGTAGGTAACTCCTGTATTGTTTTCTTGCCAGTCCAGGGAGAGGATGAGAATCAGTGGCCGCTGATTCTCACAGGTGACATGGCCCTGTGAGAGGCGCCTGAGTGACAAAAGGTGAAGGGTGTAGGGGACAGCACAGTACTCTAGTGTTCTGTTCGTGTTGTAGCTCCCAAACCTCCACTTGATGCATCCCAGGAGAGCCCGAGGGTGTAGTGGGCCACCCACCTCTCTCCCCAGCCTGGAGGGCCACCCGAACAGGCCCATTGGTCTCCCTGCAACACCCAGGTCACATTTACTTAGAGGGTATTCACCATGTGCTGGGCTGGACAGGACCCAGAGGAGGAAGGAACCAATCCTGAGGGTGTTTGCTGGCAGGAGACACCTCTTTTTCCTCGGGAACCTGCCCAAAATGGCCTGGCCTGAGCAGTCTGTGGTAGAGTGTCTGCTCATACCTCCAGGGAGGCGTCTCTGGGGGTGACCTCATGTCTGGACTGAGCTTGCATCAGGCGGTCTGCCAAGGCTGCGTCGTGGTCTCCCTGAGGAGGTCCTGAGAGAGTGAGGGAGCACCACGGTCACTGCCACCAATCTCAAGGAGCTTTACCTTCAGGTTTCCATCAAGGACCATTTAGGGCTCACCGCTGTCTGGTGGAGGCAGGAGGCCTTGTCTTGAGGCTTTGCCTTCCCCTGGGAAAATATGTCAGGCTCTGGTTGCAGATGGCAACCTCACTGTGGCTGGTGTGTGGCTCACACGTGGCCCACTTCTCAGTAGCTGGACGCATGAGTTCATCAGCGGAGTTACTGACTTGTGATCTGTAGCAGGGCTTAACAGACTCTGGCACTTGACAGACATGTCCCCAGGGCCAGCGAGGAGTTGGTTCTGTGCTCTGGGCCCAGAGGCAGTTGGCAAGTCACAGACTTAGTCTCCAAAGCCTCTCCATTCATTTTGGGAGATAGACAGACAGACACACAAGCAAGAGACTTCCCCAAGATTCCGGGGCAAGTAGCCAAAGGCCCTCAGAAATCTGGGACAGTCTGGAAGAGTTACTCCCTCTGGGTTCATCTTATTTTAACAGTAACTGAACAGGCACATGGCATCTCGGTTCATTGCTCCCAACAACTCTGTGACACTGGAGTTCTCTCCACCGTTTCTAGACGGTGAGATAGGCGTGGAAAAGTAAGGAGTTTACCAAACACACGGAGCATAAACTCTGTCTCCAAAGCCCTTCCTGTAGTCACCTCATAACACTGTCTCCAGCCCTGCAGTCAAATCATGTGCTGGATCTTGGGATGCCTGCCCCCAAGGGCCCCACAGTCTGTGGGGTAGACAGGCAGGCAAAGAGGTAACTGAGTCATGGCCAGGCCGAGCAGCCAGGCCACCTCTGGCGAAGCAGAGGTGGTGGCAGGAGAAGAGATTGCTTCTGGAGATGACAGATTACCAGGTGAAGAATCTTGCGTGAGTCAGAGACAGAGTGTCGTGAGCATCCGAGGGCCAGGAGCTTGCCCTGGGAAGAGGAGGAAGGAGGAGACTTGTGGGTTGGGCCTTGCATCATGAATAGGAGTTTGCCAGATGTGGAAGTGAGGGAGGAAGGAACATCCCGAAGAGAGAACATTGTGTGCAAGACTCAGTCTTCCTGGCGGAGTGTGGTTGCGGGAGGAGGGGGGAGGTGACCCACGACTTGAGGCCATGAGTCATGAGTGTCAGTGACTGGTCTGTGGCCACCTTGGGGCATTCAGATGACAGGCACCTTGTTCCTGTGGGTGTTTCACTGCCTACCCCTGGACACCAGGTCCAGGGACTGCCCACCCTCTCTGCCAGCAGCAATTCCTGCCCGCTTTGCCATTTGCTAATTCTGGGTGGCTCTGGTCTGAGCCCCACACTCATACTGTGTGTGAGAAAGAATACAGAAACTATATGTACGACGCTGCTAGACTCAGTGGTTACTATGTGGGCCAACGGCCTCACCAGGTCCCCAGAGCCCCTGGGCCCTCCATGTGTTCTGGTTGAGTTTCCACAAGGAAAGGGCTATCTGGCTATATCGTGTCTCTCCTGTGTCTTTGGAGCCGAGGCCTGTGCCTGGTCGTCTGTGCTCCGCTGAGTGACGTGTTGGTGGAAAGTGTTGATGGTGGCTGAGTGAAGTGTTCGTGTCAAGAGCCCAAGGCTGGCTGTCATAAAGCTTGGAGCTTTACCTACAGGTTTCCATCAAGGACCATTTAGGGCTCACCGCTGTCTGGTGGAGGCAGGAGGCCTTGTCTTGAGGCTTTGCCTTCCCCTGGGAAAATATGTCAGGCTCTGGTTGCAGATGGCAACCTCACTGTGGCTGGTGTGTGGCTCACACGTGGCCCACTTCTCAGTAGCTGGACGCATGAGTTCATCAGCGGAGTTACTGACTTGTGATCTGTAGCAGGGCTTAACAGACTCTGGCACTTGACAGACATGTCCCCAGGGCCAGCGAGGAGTTGGTTCTGTGCTCTGGGCCCAGAGGCAGTTGGCAAGTCACAGACTTAGTCTCCAAAGCCTCTCCATTCATTTTGGGAGATAGACAGACAGACACACAAGCAAGAGACTTCCCCAAATCTGGCCATGTGGCCACTGTGAGCCTAAGTTCCTCACCTATGACACCGGTGTCATGGTGACACTGGCCTGCAGAAAGGAAGTGAAGCCTGTGTGTACACAGTCTTCTCCGGTCTTCCTGGGCCACTGCTGGCCAACGAGAGCACCCAGAGGATCCCGGGAGGGCTGGCCCTGTACAGAGTCTGGGGTTTGGCTATCCGGCCTGTCATACGGAATCCAGGGTGGAGCGTGTGAAAGATGACACTTTAGATGGGGCCAGTGATCAGAAGTATTAAGAACACAAGGGTCCTTAGATTGTCAGGTGGACTTAGTCCACAGCCATAGAGGGACCAGGGAACAGACAGGCCATGGAAGGACTGAAGTTATAACAGTAGGACCCCTGGCCTGGAGTTAGGAACACAGCTCTGAAATTCAATGTTCTTTTGCTTCTACTGAGGTTTCTGCTTCAACCCCAGCCTAGATTCCTGTAAGAGCAGTGTATGTTATGGTCGAATTGCATCTCTAAAACTCCTCGGGGAACTAAGTCAGCCCTGGGGTTGGGGGGAGTGTCAACAAGGGTCTGTTACACCAGAGGAAAGTAACCAAGGTGTGAAGGACTCCACCGGAGGTCCTCAAAGAGCCTGGATTCTGGAGTGTTTTGCTGCAGGCCCAGCAGGGATATGGTCTGGGAAGGGGTCATATGACTGACTCCAATAGGAACAGTCGCATGGCAAGACTGTGTTGGGTAGGGTGGAAGGTGGACGTGTTACCCATCCACACTCGTAGGCTTGCTCCCTGAGGCAGTAACTCTCTTCCCATATAGTGTCCACGTGGCCTGAATGAGGTTCACAGCCTCCCTCGAATGGGGAAACCTGTATGGCAGAAAAAGCGATGAGGTCTACCCAAGGCAGAGCTGGGGAAAGGACCCTGAGAGAATTTCTGGTCAGGCGGTACCCAAGGAGATCCGTTAATCTCACAGACTTCTGTGTTGGTAGCTGCAGTGAGGACATCTCCAGAGTCCTACTGACAGGAGCTGAGTCTGAGGGTGGGATAGATAGACAGAGGTATGGGTCCCATAATCACGCAGGTACTGTGCACATGCTGGCTGTCTGGTTATGCAGAGTAGGGTAGGCCTGAAACTAAACTCAGATGCCTCTATATGCTACTAACCTGAGCATATTACTGAATGACACTGGGAGCCCCGAGCCTCAGTTTCCCCCGTGAAGTACTCGTAAACATCAAATAAGTAATAGGAGTGTTTTGACAGTTACACTGAGGTGGCCAGAAGGCTGGCAAGGCAGACTAGTTTTTGCTGTCCCCTCACCATTTGCTGTGGCCTCCTGTGTGTGCCCTGCGTTTATGTGAGGGTCTGGGATATAGCAGTGAAGATGATTTTTTTTTTCTGAGACAGTGTTTCTCTGTGTTGCTTTGGAGCCTGTCCTGGTACTAGCTCTTGTAGACCAGGCTGGCCTTGAACTCACAGAGATCTGCCTGCTGCTGCGTCCTGAGTGCTGGGATTAAAGGCGTGCACCACCACCGCCTGGCAATGAAATTGTTTTTGCTCTGATAGAGTGCACATTCTGAAGAAGACAGACATTACACAAACAGAATGTCTTGTTTTGCTATAATGAAGGCTTATGGTAAGGTTGTTTTTTGTGTGTCTGTGCTTTGTTTTTCTGAGTAGTCAGAGGCCAGGAAGTAATGGTAAGGAAGTGTGGAGGGAAAGGTCAGATCTTAGGAGGTGACCCTTGAATGGGGACACAAAAGCAAGGAGTAGATTGTGCAGGTGTGGACCCTCCTCCTAGCATCTCTGAGCCCTCCTGTCCCTACAGGAATGCTCGCCCTATGCAGCCCATCTCTATGACGCCGAGGATCCGGCCACCCCACTGCGGACAGTACCTGGCCTCTGTGAGGATTATTGCCGGGACATGTGGCAGACCTGCCGAGGCCTTTTTCGACACCTTTCCCCTGACCGCGAGCTCTGGGCCCTGGAGAGCAACAGGGCCAAGTTATGCCGCTACCTGTCCCTAGATGACACCGATTACTGTTTCCCAAGCCTGCTGGTCAACGAGAACCTGAACTCAAACCTGGGCCGTGTAGTGGCTGATGCCAAGGGCTGCCTGCAGCTGTGTCTGGAGGAGGTGGCCAATGGGCTTCGAAACCCCGTTGCCATGGTACACGCAGGGGATGGCAGCCACCGCTTCTTCGTGGCCGAGCAGGTGGGGCTGGTGTGGACCTACCTGCCTGACCGCTCTCGCCTGGAGAAGCCCTTCCTGAACGTGAGCCAAGCAGTGCTGACGTCCCCCTGGGAAGGGGACGAGCGTGGCTTCCTGGGCCTTGCCTTCCACCCCCGCTTCCCACATCCCAGCAAGCTCTATGTCTACTATTCTGTGGGGGTCGGCTTCCGAGAGTGGATCCGTATCAGCGAGTTCAGAGTCTCAGAGGATGATGAGAACACCGTGGATCATGGCTCAGAGAGGTGGCTTCCTGGGAGCCCCAGCCAAGGGAGGGCCAGGTCACATGGGAGGTTGCGTGACACACACACAGTTGTGGCTGAACGAGCAAGTCTGTTTTAAATACCGTGACTGTTTAACACCCCCATGGGGGCCTGAATCACATGCTCTGGGGCCTGGGGAAGAATGATTTTGCAAAACAGACCTGGTGTGGGGTCATGCCTTGACCCCTGTCTCTGACCTCCTGAGCCAGATGCTTCTCTCCTCTTCTGCTGCAGGCTCTAGAGATAGTCACTTCATCTGACTCATAAAGCTGAATGAGGTCACAACTCAGAGGGGAAGTGACCTGTTAGGTCACACAGCTTGGAAGTATCCAAGCTGGAGTCCTGGTCTGTCCCAAAAAAGTACATCCCATTCCAGGGCCGGCTGGACTGTGGTCCAAAGTTACCATTCTTATCCCTACGGCCAGCATTTCCCCTATTCTCTGCCTTCCGGCAGTTGGGTCTCTTTTTTCTGCCCAGCCTATCAGTCTCTCTGTCTCTGTCTGTCTGTCTGTCTGTCTGTCTGTCTGTCTGTCTGTCTGTCTCTTCAGGGTCTTGCATAGTCCAGGCTGACCTGGAACCTCCTATGTGTTGAAGACTGGTCTTAAACTCTTTTTTTTAAAAAAAATATTTACTTATTTATTTATTATGTATACAATATTCTGTCTATGTGTATGCCTGGAGGCCAGAAGAGGGCACCAGACCTCATTACAGATGGTTGTGAGCCACCATGTGATTGCTGGGAATTGAACTCAGGACTTTTGGAAGAGCAAGCAATGCTCTTAACTGCTGAGCCATCTCTCCAGCCCGGTCTTAAACTCTTGATTCTCTGTCTCTACCTCCTGAGTACTGGGGTTGCAGATCTTGGTGACCCTGTCAGCTTTTACCCCATTTAATCTGCTCCCACCTCTAGGCCCCCCAGTGCCTGAGAACCTACTTTCTGTTGTTTATGCCCAACTGTTTCAGGGAGGAGTTGACCTGGCTTGGTCACCCTGCTCCAGACTCTCCCAGGCAGAAGTGGGTACTGAAAATTAGAGTCTTGGTCGTTAGTGTTGGAAGGAAGGACAGCCTGGGAAAGGAGGTATCGAGCCTGGGCCACTGGAGGGCGCTGCCTCCTCCTATGGCTGGAGGGACCCAGGGAGACGTGAGGCCCCAGAACTGTGGGGCAGGTCTGGTTGAGACCCAATCAGACTGAAGTCATGGGGGAAGGGCAGCTATTGTATAGATATTGCCAGAAACACAAACACCAACACAACACCTGACTCCCCAGATGCCTTCTATTGGCTGAGATTGTTCAGCTTGCAAAGGAGAATGGGAAATGTAGTTCAATGATGCTGCCTGTCCTTACCCCTATGTAAAGAGCAAGTAAGAACAAGACCAGGCTCAGGTGTGTTGGTGAAAAAGAGGAAAAAAGGACACCTTGTATTTGATGAAACTGTGAAATGTAGACATGGGACATATGAAAAAGAGAAACACCCTCAAAACAGTAGCTTTGTGGGTTGATAGACTTCATATCTTACTGCAATTAATTTTGACTTTTGAGTTTTCTGACAGCTAGAGAGGGAAAAAAAAGGAAAACAGAATTTTCATGACTGTACCCAAGCCTGGGAGACCACTTCGTGGTGGGAGAAAGTTTGTCCCAGGGATCAGACAGGAGAGATGGAGGATGAAATACACGTTTCTCCAACAGCGACATTAAAAGTGACTTGTGATAAAAACTAAAGTTGGAAATTGAGAGTGACGGGTACATGTCCTGTAATTGCTTCACTTAGGAAGTGGAGGCAATCAGATCAGGGGGACCAGGGGGCAATCAGTTCAAAGTCATCTATGTCTATATAGCATGTTCCAGGCTAGCCTAAGCTACCTGAGACCCTAAAAAAAAAAATCAGGTGTGGTGGTATAAGCCTTTAGTTCCACAACTATGGAGTCCAAAGCGCAGGTGGATTTCTGTGAGTTCAAGGCCAGCTTGGTCTCACAAGCTGAGTTCTAGGGCTTCCAGGGAATCCAGGGATATATAGGGACATCCTGTCAAAAAACAAACAAACATCCTGGAACTGAAGAGGTAGCTCTATAGTTAGAACATTTGCTCCTTTTCTGGAGGTCTGGAGTTCGGTTTCCAGCACCCATACCGAGCAGCTCATAACAGCCTGTAACTCCAGTACCAGTAGATCTGATGCTCTCTTCTGGCCTCTGAGGATACCTGCACACACATGGCACATGGGTGACCCACAGACTGCGTTGTCCTCTGCTTTGAGGACCCTGAGCTTGGGGCTCTGTAAGGGTCATATGCATCAACCTCACCATGGAAACGCTCCAGTGTTAATGATGAAGGAAGTACTCAAGATGGGGGTTTCAAGGCCTTGACTCTGTGTCTTGTTTTTGTGTTTTTTTTTTTTCCTGTCCTGCTTTCACAGGTGACAATGAGGTCAGTGCAGTGGCTGGTCCTCTTGAACCTGATGATTCTGGCCCCCATTTTTTTGGGGGGGATTAGTACAGGGGTTAACCACTTGGCAAAGAGAGGGCTGCAAAAGGGTGGAGGAGGGCCAGTGACCTAAGATCACCAGCTGCGGTGGTATGTGGTAGCTGCTGGGGCAGAGGAACCAACTGGAGGAGTTTGTGTGGCTGAGTTCTGCCACTGGCTGAGATGTCCACAGTGGTCACTCTCATGTCATGTACCTGCTGCTTCTCAAGACAGAATGGCAGTGTCTCCTTTCCTCCTGCTTTCCCCGTCCATGGCAAATCCTGATGGAAAGCCAGCTGACTGGGTACAGGGAAGGTTTCTTCCAACGGCAGTAAAGAGGTCCCAGGGGGTGTGGATAAAGGGTCCTTCCCACTGTCCTGAAGAGCTCGTCACTAACAGCCAATGGAGCATGTCAAACGTGCTCTGATTCACCGGTGGGAAATGGAGAAGGTGACAAACTTCCGTCGAGTACCAGGGGTGGGAAGCAGTCGAAAAACGCTGGTCCAGAGTCCTGGCCCCAGCTCTGATGCTGATGGCCTGTGTGCCCTCGAGTGGGTACCACTTGACCTCGTCCAGCACCCAGGTTCTTCCTTGACACAGTGATGTGAATGATCCCTACTCAACCTACCTGTAGGTTGTGAAAAACAACATGTTACAAGAGAGAGAAAGCATTTCCCACTGTGGACCGGCATCTGAGAGAAGGTTTGATTCTTATCTGGGGTTATCATTTAAGACGTTTTTATTGAACAGATACTTATCTTTCTTTAGGATAATCCTGGAGATTGAAGAACCAGCCTCCAATCACAATGGGGGCCAGCTGCTTTTTGGGGACGATGGCTACCTCTACATCTTTACTGGAGATGGCGGGATGGCCGGAGACCCCTTTGGGACGTTTGGAAATGCGCAAAACAAGTATGACCTGCTTCTGCTCGGCTGAGGCACCGGTTTGCACGCAGGACGTCTTGTGTTTCTGGAGGGAGAGCTACTGCCGCTACCACAGAGCAGGGTGCTAGCCTGCAGTTAGCGGGGACCCCAGCTAAGTCACTTACCCCCATTGATTAGTGAGGACAATGACAAGCTCAGTGAGAGATTGTCATGAGGAAAGGAGGTGTCAGTGGTTGTCAAGGATCAGGAACAGTGCCTATTGTCACAGATACCAGAGAAATGAGCCTTTGGGAAGATGGGACTTTCTCCAAGGTGAGCTCTGGCCTGCTGGGCCTTGCTGGGGTCAGGCAGGTACTCCCCTGACAAAGGGGCAGCTAGAGTCGGTCTCTTACTCCCATAAGAGATCCAGAAGCTGAGTGCAATCTCTTTTTTCTTCTTTTTTTAAATTTGGTTTTTGTTTGCTTGTTTGTTTGTTTTGCTGAGTGCAATCTCATCTTAATTTCTCTATTTCCTGTTTTGAGCAAATGACCTGGCCTCCTCCTTTCACGTGTGTGTGTGTGTGCATGCACATAAACACACATGGAGAATTGTGCATGTGCACAGGGGTGTGCAGGGAGTCCAGATTGAAGAACCAGCCTCCAAACACAAAACCAGCTTCTCCTATTCCAAATACACAAGTCTCTCTTGGCCCAGAAAGTAACAGTAGTGAGGGCATATAGATTACGGTTTGTGGCTTGTGCATCCCTGTTTGACGGTGAGAAATATCCCACCTTTTCATGTTGGCCGTGTGCTCAGAGCTGAAGCTGAAGAGCAAGATGAGGGTTCTTGGATAATTGAGCTGAAGTTAGAAACATTGTTTTGGCTGGGCGGTGGTGGCGCACGCCTTTAATCCCCGCACCCGGGAGGCAGAAGCAGGTGGATCTCTGTGAGTTTGAGGCCAGCCTGGTTTACAAGAGCTAGTTCCAGGACTGGCTTCAAAGCAACACAGAGGAACCCTGTCTCGGAAAAAAACAAAACAAAACAAAAAACATCGTTTTGCTGCTAGGAGTTTTTGCCTGCCTGTAGATCCTGGAGCTGGATGTGGGGTGTGAAGGCAGGGGCTGCCTGGAGTGCATGATCACAGGAATGAACCATTGCCACTGGTCTGTTTATCACTATGGCAGGACACCTGTGAGGGAAACACTGTGTCAATGACAGGTGCACCAATGTGTTACCTAAGTGAGCTACATCAACTCTGCCTTGCTGGGCAGGCTGGAGGGAGGAGTCAGCGCCTATGTGCCAACAGAGGGCAAAGGATGCCCTGAGTAGGCACAGTAGGAATCACCCTGAAAACCTTTGCTCCCATTCTGCTAACTCCAACTATTTTCCAGGTCAACGATTCTCAACTCACTTAATGATGTGACTCTTTTATACAGTTCTTCATGCTGTGATGAACCCCAACCATAAGATTAAATTATTTCATTACCACTTTGTAACTGTAACTTTGCTACTGTTTCAAATTGTAATGTACTTGATAGTCTACCCCGAAGGGGTCACGGCCCACAGGTTGAGAACCATTGTTGTTGTCGAGGTGTTTCCCTTTGTGGACCACTGTGCTCATGATCAATGAAGCCATCAGCTACTTTCCTCCTCCCCCCAGAGCCGCCAGGAGGTTGGAGCACGTGTTCCCTCTCCCTCATCTATACTTGGTACTATTTGATATATCCGACTTTGATGACCCGTGCTGGTTCAGTGGCTCAGCACTTTGTGGATCCCTGCTATGTGGGAGCCCCTGACTGACTATGAGAAAGACGTAAATAGGAGTTATTCTTCTAGTACAATCTTCACTCTACAGCACAACTATGTGAACAGAAGCACCCTCAATATTATAGCGTAGAAAAGCGGCATTCCATAGTTGTGGTGAAGAGCTTGGGCTTCTAGGGCCAGGTGCAATTGACAGGCTGAATGGCGGCTTCTCCTAGCTCGGGTTCCCTCTATAAAAGACAGCTCTGACCTGAAAGGTCAGTTGTGAGGAGGCAATGCAGCAATAGGTGGTGAGTTAGAGCTTCCCGCAGTTAGAGCTGCTCAGCCAGTGCGGGACAGACACGCAGGAGGGTGTGCAGAGAGGGGTGGTACAGGTGGTTGAGCAGGGCTGGACCCAGGGATGGCTCACCGTCCCTGCCCTCTGCGCGGACCCAGTGTAACCAGCCGGCGTTCTCCGCCCCGGCCGCAGGTCGGCGCTGCTGGGCAAGGTGCTGCGCATCGACGTGGACCGCAATGAGCGTGGCCCGCTCTACCGTATCCCTCCCGACAACCCGTTCGTGGGCGACCCCGGAGCGCGGCCCGAAGTCTACGCCCTGGGAGTGCGCAACATGTGGCGCTGCTCCTTCGACCGCGGAGACCCGATGTCTGGCACTGGCCGTGGCCGCCTGTTCTGTGGGGACGTGGGCCAGAACAAGTACGAGGAGGTGGACCTGGTGGAGAGCGGCCGCAACTACGGCTGGCGTGCTCGCGAGGGCTTCGAGTGCTACGATCGCAAGTTGTGCGCCAACGCCTCCCTCGGTGACCGCGTCCTCGGGGACCTTCACATAGGATCCCTCTGGTCCTCTCCCCTCCCCCGCTAGATCTGCCTGCCGCTTTCCCCTGCGCAGACCCTCAGCATGGATCCAGTCTGTCCCACCCCATCACCCTGGGGACTCCCCGACTTGGATCAGCATTCTTCCAGAACCCCAGACCTAGCCGCCATCTCCACTCCTCCCTGGGTCCGTAGAGCCAGATCTGCCCCATTTCTCAGGGAAACTCCAATCCAGATCCCACCCCATGGGGATCCCCCTGCCTCACTCCCTCCCTGGACACCCACCTCCCCACCTCTCCCACTTCCCCCACCTCCCCCACCTCTACATAGCCTTGTCCCCTTCCTCTATCACAGGACTGACTTTTCCCACTCCCTACATCCCTGGACTTTGGGGGCTCCCTTCGAGCAATATTTTAGGTTCCTCCTCACCATGCACCTCCTCCTGAACCCCTAAAAATACGGTTATGCCCCTTTGAGAGCTTTTCTTGCCCAGACCACGCCGTCTCCGTGCGTGGCTCAGGACTGTCTGGGAAGCACTAGGCCTCAGGATGAACCCACTTTCTCACCCGCCCTCCAGATGATGTGCTGCCGATTTTCGCCTACCCTCACAAGCTGGGCAAGTCAGTCACTGGGGGCTATGTGTACCGGGGCTGCGAGTACCCCAACCTCAACGGCCTCTACATTTTTGGCGATTTCATGAGTGGGTAAGTGGCCTACATGGCCTGCACTCTTCCTGACTGGTAAAAGGAGTTCGTGTTTGTATTGTTTCCGCTTAGGAGTGGGCCAAACAGGTCTCTTCCTCAGGGAGAAAATCTGGGTCATTCTTAGGAATGCAAAGACGGATGGATGGATCAGTGGATGGAAGGATGAATGGATGAACGGGTGTGTGAATAACTTGCTGAACGAGTGGATAGAGGGATCCTCTTGTGCAGCACACTAGCTATGACCTCATAGATTTATCTTTCTTTTTTTAAAAAAATATTTATTTATTTATTTATCTATCGTGTATACAATATTCCGTCTGCGTGTATGCCTGCAGGCCAGAAGAAGGCGCCAGACATCACTACAAATGGTTGTGAGCCACCATGTGGTTGCCGGGAACTCAGGACCTTTGGAAGAGCAGGCAGTGCTCTTAACTGCTGAGCCATCTCTGCAGCCCCCTGGTTTGTCTTTCTTTGCAGGCGACTGATGTCCCTCCGAGAGAACCCAGAGACCGGGCAGTGGAAGTACAGTGAGGTCTGCATGGGCCGGGGACAGACATGTGCTTTCCCAGGTCTCATCAACAACTACTACCCACATATCATCTCCTTTGCAGAGGATGAGGCCGGTGAGCATCCAAGACCCTGCCATCCTTTGCCCAAGCTTGGCACTGTCACCAGCCGCCAACCCTGGTCATCTTTCTGGCTTCTGCCGTTAAAGAAGTTTAAGCATGAAATGACTTTCATACTGGGGAAGGGCGTGTTCTGGGGCTTTGCCTTTTTCCTCTGGCATTCTTGTATCAGCCCTAGACCCTCTGTCCCGAGCTTCCCTTTTTTTATCTGGAAACTCGGAGAAGTGGCTGCCCTCCACCCCCATGGCGGTGTTGGCGGGAGAGCTAATGGGCACAAGTCCCCAGCATTAGCAGGGTCGGGGAAGACCTGCAATATTGTGTTTTAGGCAGGTGAGAGAAGAGGTAGGTTTCTGATGGCAGATGTATCTGAGCTACCGAGGGAACCAAGTTGACATTTCAGAGCAGGCAGGCACAGCCTCCTAGCCTATTCCTGGAGCGCACATTCCCAGCAGGGGACAGAGGGGGAAGGGAGAGAAGAAGGGACCACAGAGGCTGGATCCCACTCCAATCTCCTGCCTTTGTCCTTGGCCCTGGGATTGTTCCCAGACAAAAGGCCAGGGGCCCCAAGCAGGCCCTGGTGCAGGCTTGTTGAAGTTTCCAGGCAACGCTCACACTCACCATGGCCTTTGGAGGGGTATCCCCTGCAGGGCCCAGTGCCCAAAGCCCCCAGGGCCTAGTCTGGGAAAGCTTTGTTGAGCTGACACACCCCCCACATTAGAATGTGAGTTTCCCAAAGAGCAGCCCCAGCCTCCCCTCACCCCCAGGCCCCACGGAGGTTCCTAAGCCCTTGGAAGCCTTTTGTTTTGGTCAGTAGGGGGCTAACATGATTTAGAAGCTGCATCTCCCCTACCCAATGCAGAGTCTGAAGGAAGGTGCAGTTCTCAAGGGCCTTTCTCAGTCATTTGAGTGACACAGAGTGACAAAACCAGGAGGAAGTGCAGTGAGCTGTCCAGCCCAAAGCCAGCCCTGGATCGTGTAAAATATCAGTGCTGCCAGCTGGGGCAAAACAGCCTCTTCCAGCTCCAGACTCTCTAGGTGTGCTTTGGACACATCAAATGATGTTACAAGGACCTCTGCTGCCCCAGGAATCTTCAGGGGCATTCACAGCACAGAGACCAAGAGGAAGGGCCACCCTAGGCAGCACTGGCAGCTTCAGCATTGTCCTTGTGCATACATAGGACATAGGGACCCAGTTTTCAGATGATCATAGCCATCAGAATAGGCCTGGTTGAACCCCATCGAAGCAGGGAGCAGGGTAGTGCTGGATGGAGGTGGGAGCCTCCATCTATGGGCCTAAGCAGGATGAGACACCTGGGTACTGTGCCACAGACGACAAAGGCATGTTGAGGTGATAGGTGGCCCCAACACCCTCTCAGGACTGGTAGTCAGGATGGGAGGTCAGCCTTCGAGCCCGAGGGGAGCCTGGGTGGGACAGAGTTGTCTCCATTGGGTTGCAGACAGTTTTCTCATTGCCTTGTTCCCCATCTAAAGGGGAGCTGTACTTCATGTCCACGGGCGTGCCCAGTGCCACAGCTGCACGTGGGGTCATCTACAAAGTGATAGACCCCTCCAGGTGAGTCCCTGAACTACAGGCTAGGAAGAGACAATGGATTTACTGCAGACAGTAAGTTCCCCTTCTTCCTCCTACTGCCACATCCCCACCTCAATCTACCTGCTTCAGCTTTTGCTGTGATGTCCCTTCCTGGGTTCAAGGCCTACCCCAGCTCCTTCTGTGTACAAAGCCCTCTCGGCTATCCATTGTACGAATGAAGCTGGGGGCCCTAACCATTGGCAACGTGCCTGGTGGGTATCACCCTGTAGCCTCCACCTCCCTGACACACTTGCTCTCCTGTCCTACCTGGTCCTCTCTCTGCTGTTGTCACTTGGCTGTGGCATCTCACCTGTCCAGAGTCTCTAGGACGAAGGCTGTGTCCCCTCATCCAGGGACACCCCTCAGGTCCTGGGAATGCTGCAGAGCAGACACCAGGGTGTGTTTAATGAATGATTGAATGATGATCTTTCTGGAACCCCCTTCCTAGCCTATAGATTCTTTGCTTCTCCCTCAGAGTAGCCAATGACCCTAAACTTTGAGACACACTAAGTGTAAAGAAATCCTAAAACACATACCAAACATAAGAAAGTGGTTTTCAGCCAGCATAGGGGTATATACTTGTAACCCAACTATTTAGGAGGCTGGGGCAGGAAGACTGCCAGTCTGAGGTCAGCTTCTAAGAGTTAAAAACTAGCCTAGGTAATTTAGTGGGATCAAATTAAAAGTGTGTGTGTGTGTGTGTGTGTGTGTGTGTGTATGTGCGTAGGGGGCTGGACAGACTAGGAATGTAGAGGACTTGTCTAGAATACACAAGGTCCTGAGGAGTTAGGTCTCTAATTCATTTTAAAATTTTTTATTAAGATTTATTTACTTTTATTTTATGCTCATTGATATTTTCCCTCCATGTATGTCTATGTGAGGATGTTGGATCCCCTGAAACTGGAGTTCCTGACAGTTGTGAGCTGCCATGTGTGTGCTGGGAATTAACCCAGGTCCTCTGGAAGAGCAGTCAGTACTGTTAACTACAGCTGAGCCATCTCTCCAGCCCCTCCCCAGTTTATTTTTGTGTTACTGTCCACGTAGAAGACAATGTTGACTACAGAATAGCTTGAAGCACTGCCAGGGGCGAGAGGTGCCATTACCGAGGAGAGCACTAATCCAGAGGGAGAGTGGCCAGTGGCCAGAAAGGTCATTGTGTAACGCATATTCTCAGGGGTTGAGAGTGCACAGTGGCAGGGAAGCCATTGTGGCAGCCTAATGTTTGGGGAGGTCTTTTGTATTTTCTTAAGTCTCTAAACGTATGGCTTCTGGAGGGGCATTTTCTTGAACAGGTAATTGTCAGTGTGTGTGTGTGTGTGTGTGTGTGTGTGTGTGTGTGTGTGTGGTGTAGCATTATAGGTGTGTGTGTTTGCATGTGTGTGGATGCACATGTGTGGGTGTGCATGTGGAGGCCAGGGGTCGGCAAGGCTGGATGTCTCCCTCTTTTGCTCTCCTCCTTATATATTGAGGCAGGGTCTTTCTCCTGAACCCAGAGCTCATAATTTGCTAGTCTGGCTAGCCAGCTGACTTCCGGGATTCCCGTGTGCACTTTGGATTACAAACAGGTTGTTATGCCCACCTCGTATTTACAGGAGTGCTAGGTTCCCAATTCTAGTCCTCACTCTCGTGCCACAAGTGCTCCCACTGAGTCTCTCCCCAGTTCCCTGGATTAACTTTCTTTTTTGGATGCAGGTTCTCTCTATGATGTAGCTCTAAATGTCCTATAACTCTATGTATGCCAGACTGGCCTTGAACACACAGAGACCCACCTACCTAGGTCTCCTGAGCGCTGGAATTAAAGAAGTGCACCACCACACCTGACTAAATTTATTACTAATTTTTAATTCCCCTTCCATGTGTGTGTATGTGTGTGCATGCACGCACGTATGTATATGTGCATGTGTGTGTGTGTGTGTGTGTGTGTGTGTGTGTGTGTGATATGTGAGCGCAGACAAACACATGGAAAGGACACCTCTCAGTTCTTAGTCTCCAGGTTAGCAGGCCCAAGCCTTTCTGGACCATTCTCCTAGCCATCTCCGATCTCGTGGTTGGATGGCTGGGAGGATGGATGTGGGAACTGGACCATTCTCCTAGCCATCTCCGATCTCGTGGTTGGATGGCTGGGATGATGGATGTGGGATTGCAGCCAACTCTGCAGGGGTGTTGCAGCTCTGAACTTAGGTTGTTGGCTTGCACGAAAGCACCTATCCACTGAGGCATTTCCCTGGCACCTGCTTTGCTGTTTGGAGATAGGATCTTGTCATGTTGCCTAGGCTGGACTGAGATTTTCAATCCTCCTGCCTCAGCTCCTCAGGGCTGGGATCACAGGTATGCACCACCCTACCAGGGTCTCTCAAGTTTTATGAAGATTGCTATAGTTCCCCCCCTTTTTTCTTTTTTGTTTCATTTTTCTTTTGCATCTTTTTTTTTTTTTTTAAAAAAAAAAACAAGGTCTTATGTGGTCTAGGCTGGCTTTGAGTCCTCAGGCCTCTAACTCTCAGATGCTCCCATGCCCAGTATATGTTCCTTCTTGATCTCAGGACCCCACATCTCATTTAGTCAACATGTTTTCATCACTCTTATTATTTCCAAGCCCAAATGGGAGCTTCTCAGACCCCTTGCTCCTCACACACACTGTGTGTGTTGTTTTATGACTTACAGAAGTACAAAGTGATCAGTTAATGACATGACTGCTTCTCTTCCTCCACCACCTCCTCCCCTGCTCTCTTTCCCTCTTTCTCTCCTCCTCCCTCTCCTCTCCTCCTCCTCCTTCTTTTTCTCCTCCTCCCCTTTCTCTTCCCCCTTATCCCTCTTCTCCTCCCCTTCCCTCCTTCTTTTGAGACAGGGTTTCTCTGTGTAGCCCTGGCCATCCTGTAACTCGCTCAGTAGACCAGGCTGGCTTCAAACTCACAGAGATCTGCCTTTTTTCTGCCTCCCGAGTGCTGGGATTAAAGGCAGGCACCACCACCACCTGGGTCATGATGTAACTTCTTCTCACAAAGCCATAAGCGTGCTTTCTCCCGTTAGACACCTCCATCTTGTTTTCCACAAGTTCCCATCCACTTTCATCTTGGTGACCTCATACCTGGACCACAGTCAGCCTCGCTCTCATCTCATTTGCTTGTCCCTGAGGACCATCACTTGCTGAGTCACATGGCACCATCACTCTCAGCAGGATGCTGGCCATGGTCTGCTGAGTCACTGAGCCATCATCGGCTTTCACAGTTCATGGAAGCCGATATTATTTTCATTAAAAAAAAAAAAAGAAAGAAAGGAAGGAAGAAAGAAAGAAAGAAAGAAAGAAAGAAAGAAAGAAAAAGAAACACTGGGGCTAGAGAGGCGGCTCAGCGACTGGGAACACTGGCTGCTCTTCCAGAGGCCTGGGTTAGGTTCCCAGCATCCACATGGCAGCTCACAACTATCTGGAACCAGTTTCAGGGATCAGCGCCCTCTGCTGGCCTTGCACTTATGTGGTGCACAGACATATATGTAGGCAAAACACACACATAAAGAAAAACAAAAAAAAAAAAAAAGAATGACTCTCTAAGGACCTGTTACTTGTACTAAACATCTAATTCCTGCCAGATGTCACCCTAGCTGCTCCTGGTCTTTGATTTTTCAACTTCTCCCCCTCTTGGTTCATTGTCCCTGCATATGAAGAGAGGACCCAGCAGGACTTTGCCTTTTTTTTTTTTTTTTTTTTTCTCAAGGTTTTGGGGTTAGAGGCAGGCAGAAGTGAGTAGAAGTCCTCCCTTTTATTTATGTCTTTTGGAAGAAGTGTGTTTTCTGGCAGTCACACCTCAGAGGCCTGGTAGCTGACGCGTGGAAAAGGAAGACAGGGAGGAAGATCCAGGGGTCACAGCTCGCTGCCCGAACAGAGCCACTGTGGCGTTTCTCAGTGTAACATACAAAGATTTAATTAAAATTTAATTTCCTTAAGAGACAACACCCTCCTCCGCTTACCCAATGAGAGGTCAGAGCAGAGATGGCTGCACCTCCAGCTTTGAGAAGTCTGTGTGGTTTGCAGAAGCACGTGTCTCCTCCTCTGCCAAGTCTATCAGGAGGCTACCTCATCATGTGCCTATTTCAATCCCAGGCTGTCGGAACCCCCACTGAAGTCCTGGGCCCACGTGGGGCAGTCTGGGAACAGGGTCGGACCCATTCAAAGGATCACAGATCAACAGCCAAAAACTAATTAGGATGGAATTCTGGCCTTTGTGTTTCTGCAGCATGGGGAAGGAGGCTGTTCACACTCCGGCAACTTTTCTGATTCTTTTCTCTAAACTGCAGTCCCCGGGGCTGTGCTGGGCCTGCTGAAGCCAGCTTCCCACGACTCTTCCCTTCTGAGTACTAAGTCTTTTAGCTTGCCTTAACTTTCTCCACACTTCTCTATACAGTCCTATGTACCACCAGAAACCCAGAAACTAGAGGCAGGGAGAGAGACTTCTCAAAGCCTGGGGGAGAAGGGGTGGGCAGGAATGGGACATCAAAGGAGCACGGTGGGCAATGTGGAGTGGGGGGACTTCAGAGGGGCGGGGTGCTGCAGGGCCCCTGGTAAGAGGCGTCCAGTGCCTGGACACTAGTTACGGTTCTGATCACACCTGTCTGGGCCCTACCCTCTTTGCCTCTCTGCAAGGGAAGGTGATCGGGTGGGAGGCTGCAGAGTGAGGGTGCGGGATGCTCAAGGCTGGCTCCCAGTCCTGATCTTCTGTGTGTGTTTGGCAGGCGGGCGCCTCCAGGGAAGTGTAAGATACACCCTGCTCAGGTGAAGGTGAAGAGTCGTCTCATCCTCTTTGTGCCCAAGGAAAGTAAGTGTTCTCTAGTGGGAGAAGGAGCTCCTGCTACTCCTCAGGTCAGGCGGGGCCCCAGAAGGACCTGGAATGCTTCCATAGCCCCTGTACCTAGCACCATGTCTGACACCTATTAGACACCCAGCCCGTGTCCATGGTCCTGCAAGCACAATGCATCTTGCTTGACAGATCTTTCAACCAGGTCCCAGGCAGTGAAGGCAACTGTAGGAGGCTGCAGCCTCAGGCAGGATGTGGCAAGAAGAGGATAGCTGTATCAAGCAAGGGATGCTCAAAGTTCTTGGGAGGAGCATTTTTGTCCCTCTTGATTCAGGACAGAGGGAGCCATGAGTAAACCCTGTGTTCTGAAGAAGGCCATTCAAGGCCATGAATGACTGCCTGGGATAGTCTTGTGAAAGGGTAGAGGGGCGGGCTGTTCCACGGGGCCCAAGCTAGGTAGGAACAGTGGCTTGGGATAGGAAGATCTTTTGCATAACAAGAGAAGAAGTAAATCCATTTGTCTATCCATCAGCTCACCCATTCATCCACCTTCTATCCGGCAACCCATCAGCCATTCATTCACTCACAGATAGTCATCCATCAACCCATCCATTCATCGATCTACCTGTCATCATCCATCTACCTACTTGTCCACCTATCCATCAATATACCCATCCACCAACCAGTCATCCATTCATCTATCAGTCATCCATCTGCTATCCATCCACTCAATCATAAATCTGTTCATCATCATCCATATAGCCATCATCCATCCAAACATCAATTCATCTCCCTACCCATCCATCCAAACATCAGTTCATCCACCCACCTACCATCCAATTGCTCACGAATCCATCCATCCATTCATCATCCATCTATCCATCGACCACCCAGCATCCATCTGGCCATTATTCATTTATTCATCTATTTTGCCAGTTAAGAAACCAGACATCTAGTCATTATCCATTCACCTATCCATCCATCCATCCATCCAGCCAGCCAGCCACAATTCATCCAGGAAGTCATTATCCATCTAGTCAGTATCCATCCAATGATTCATTCATTCACCCAACTATCATCCATCCAGCAATCCATCTGTCTTCGTTAGGGTTTCTATTGCCTTGATAAAATGCCATGATCAAACACAACAAAGGGTTTATTTCTGCTTACAACTTTCAGATCACACTCCATCACTGAGGGAAGTCAGGGCAGGAACCTGGAGACAGGAACGGATGCAGAGGCCATGGAGAACGCTGCTTCCTGGCTTGCTTGCTAATGGCTTGCTCAGCCTACTTTTTTATATAACTCAGGACCACTTGCCCAGGGTTGGCACCACCCACAGTGGAATGGGCCCTTGCCAATCTTTTTTATTTTGTTTTGGCTTTTCGAGACAGGGTTTCTCTGTGTAGCGCTGATTGTACGGGGACTCATTCTGAAGCTATTGCTAGCTTCCATCTTTCTGGCCTTAGTTTCCTCATCGAAAACCGAGGGCAGGAAGCAATAAGTCCCTTGCTCCTGTAAACTCTCTAAACATCTCCCTTACTGTATCTCAATTTCAGGGTCTTCCCACTAGCCTGGGGACTCCTGGGAGGGCAAGGCTTGGGACAGACAGAAGCAGTGGACTGGACACAGCGCTTGGCCGCCAACCAGGGCTTGCTGAATGACTGAAGAAGTGTCTGACAGAGCTTGCATCCTTAGGAGTCAGGGTGACCCGTCAAACCCAGTTGGCTCACCAAAAGGCACCTTAATCTTAGGGTCTGAGTGGAGCCAGACCGGGCATCTTTCCTTAGGATCGATTTTCTGGCACAGACGGGGCTGCACGGGTGGATAGCTGAGCTAGGTAGGCTAGGTTCCCTCTGACCCCAGACCTTTACTCTGCGCAGAATTCATCCGAACACCAGAGAGCACTCCGCGCCCCACGGCCCGCGCCCCAACTAAGGCGCCCCGCCGCAGGCGCCCCACAGCCGCTCCCTCGGCACCCATCATACGGCCCACAAAGCCCGCACGGCCCACCCGACGACCAGGGGCCCGGAAGGGAGGCGGGCGACGGCGGGGACGTCCCAGCACCGCGGTCCCTGCGCCCCAGAATGGATCCGTGCGCCTGGTACGGCCCGCAGGCCTGAGCCCCGGCCGCGGGCGCGTGGAAGTGTTCGTAGGAGGGCACTGGGGTACGGTGTGCGATGACGCTTGGGACACCAAAGCGGCCGCCGTGGTGTGTCGCCAGCTGGGTTTTGCGCACGCGGTGCGAGCAGTCAAGCGCGCGGAGTTCGGCGAGGGTCGCGCGCTACCCATCTTGCTGGACGACGTGCGCTGCGCGGGCAGTGAACGCAACCTGCTGGAGTGCGCGCACGCTGGCGTGGGCACGCATAACTGCAAGCACGAAGAGGACGCTGGCGTCGAGTGCAGCCACGAAGACCCGGACCTATAGCCTGGCCTCATCTCCTTGACTGTGCCACCCTGTGAGGATAGAGCCTGGAATGGCTCCTTTGGTTTGTGGGCACCCCGTGCAGCACACACCTGCCGTGGTGGAGGTTCATCTGCATCTGTGTCCCCCTGGGTGTGTGTGTGGTTTGTGGATAAGATCTCTTACCTCTCAGCTCTTCTGAGAGTGAGGGCAGCGACTCTTCAGGAACAGCACTGGATGGGGGAGGCTTTACAGTGTTAGACTGAGGGATAGAGCCAGGTCTCCCCTGCCAGGGCTGAGTGACAGGCTCCGTACCGACAGGAGCGTGGTCGGAGAAATATGGTCAGAGTGTGGACAGGTGACCCAGCAGTCAGAGGCACTGCAAAAAAAAGATCAGAGAGCCTGAAAGCCAGAGAGAAGGATCTTATAGGGTCAGGGGACCTTTGTAGTACACCAGGGATCAGGCTGCTGAAGGGAATCAAGCGTCCATGACAGAAGGCGGACTAGAGGGCCTGGAGGACCTCGGAGGCCACTTGCTGCGCTCTGTAGGCACCCTGGACAGGCTACTGGGTCCCCTCCATCCCTGAAGACTGACCCTCACCTATTCATGAGACAGAAGCAACTTATGCTCACACTCGGTCCTGTCTGTTCAATCTCTGGGCTCCAGTTGGAGATGGGGGTGGGGTCTACTTTCATCGCCTTACTGCCTCCCTCACCTCCCAGGGGATCCTCAGACTCCCAGGGGATCCTCAGATAATCCCCCCCCACCTATGGGCTAAGAAGCCTTTGGACTGTCAAGACTACTCATCATGGCTGTGCCAACAATCCAACTATTTGCAATTCTTCCCTCCCTCCTTTTGTCACCTGCCACACACCTGGAAGCTGGGATGCAAGATGAGGGGGCAGAGTAAAGAGGGCGGGGCCTGTAGCTTCTCTCCCGGCTCTGTGGGAAGAGACTTCCTTGTTCATGGAAGATGGCCGCACCGGCGGCTCTGTGCCAGGTCCCAATAGCTGTAACTTAGCTTCAGATAGGGGTAGAGCCAGGGACACAAACCGGTCACCAGGCAGGGAGGACGGGATGTGGCCTGTGTCAGGCAGTTGTGGCCAGGGCTCTGGATGAGCTTGGTGGCCCAACTCGTTCATTCCCGCACTGGTCTGAACAGGCCCGTGTTCCAGCAAGGGAATTGGTGCAGACTCAGATGTCCGCTCCTGTTCACCTCAGCTGGGCAGAGCCCTGCTGAAAGGGAGCTGGGGCTCACCCCGGCGGCTCTGCAGCTCTCCACACTGGTTACCCTCTGAAATAAATAAGAAAGTTCCTGAACTGTTAAGGAAATGACAGAAAAGGAAAACATTGCTTCCGGAAGTAAAGCTGTGCAGTCACAAGGCCGGAGAACCTTGTGAGAAAATAGAGATAATAAGATTTCTGGACTTAAGGTAGCATTACAGATGCAACCAATGCATTCCATGAATCTTCTGTAAAGAAATCTCAGTTCTGATTTGGTGACATCCCTGTCCTTCCTCAGTGGCTCCTCACCCCTGTCCTTCCTCAGTACCTCCCCATCCCTTGTCCTTCCTCAGTGCCTCCCCCATCCCTGTCCTTCCTCAGTACCTCCCCCATCCCTGCCCTTCCTCAGTGCCTCCCCCATGCCTGTCCTTCCTCAGTGCCTCCCC